AGCCGCCCCCGCCACGCCCTACCATTGCCGGCTCCGCCCCTCCCGGCTCCGCCTGGCCCCGTGCCGTCCGGCTCCTCCCCCTTCCTGCCCTTCCCCTCCCCAGCAAGTCCCCGCCTACGCCACGCCCCTGCCGCATCCGTTTCCCCACCCTCACAGCCTAGCCTCCGCCGCATCGTCGCTCCGCCTTGGTCTCAAGCTCCCTCCCCTCCCTTAGGCGTCGCCCGCAGGGTATCCTACTCCAAGCCTCAGGGTCTTTCTCACCCCTTGGGCCTCTGAGGCCCAGGCATCTTTTGCACCAGTTGTCCTCACCGTGGTCCATTTCATAGTTTAAAATCGTGGCTTGGAAGTGGGAGGCAGGATGGAGAGCGGGGACAGTTTGGACATAGGCCTCAAGACCTGCCTCATTCTCCCCTGAGAGATGAGGAGGAAGGAAGGGTCTGCATGTCCGGCCTCAGGGCTCTTGCCTCACAGCCCCAGGATGAGAGCTTTACCTTATGAAGTAGAAAGATCTGGAAAGATAAGGGGCTGAGGTAACCCAGGATCTTTGGATGGGGATTTTTTTTGTTGTTGGCATTTGGGGGGCAGCTCTTGGAGATGCCTGGGAGGAAGATGTGCCCTGAGCACCAGCAGTCCTATATGTAATGGTCCTTTTGTGGCAAGAGCTCTTTCATTGGGATTTGCTGGAAGAATTTGACCAGCCAAAGAGACAAAGCTCGTGATTCCCTTCCCCCTTCCTCATGTCATGGCTTATGCAGCATCTTGGAGCATCTGTTCAGAGAAGGGCCAAGGATGGTGTCTGTTCTGCAGAAGCTCATCCCTAGTGTAGCCATTATCTTCAAAACCTTCCTGTTTGGGTCCTTAAAGAACCAGGGAAAGAGGACTTGAAATATGTCAATTCAGAAACTTGAGAAGGGACTAAAACATCGTAGAAGTGTCCACTCTTTCCACCCCAAACCCTGGGTATGCTGAGGTGGATCAAGAATACTCCAGGGGCGCCTGGGTGGCTCAGTCGTTAAGCGTCTGCCTTCGGCTCAGGTCATGATCCCAGGGTCCTGGGATCGAGCCCCGCAT